TGCAATTAGCTTGTTAATTGTATTTAGTATACTTTGTTGTGGCAGGGCAGAGGTTAAGATACTGCCATGGGAACAAATGTTGAGGGCCATAAAGCAAGGGAGGGAGAAGATCAAGTGGGAAGAGAGGGAGCCTTATGCCTTCTGGAAGGGTAACCCCCACGTTGCTGCAGATAGGGTAGACCTTATGAAATGCAACCTTTCAGATAAAAACGACTGGAATGTTCGGGTTTATAAACAGGATTGGCGTAAAGAAATCGGACATGGTTTCCAGCAATCTAAATTGGAAGATCAATGCACCCATAGGTATATGAATTATGAAAACCTTTTCTTTCTCATTGTTAGAGAACTAGATTACGATTTTGAGTCTAATGGGATTTTGAACTTTGCTGTGGTGCCATGGTTATCAAGATATAAGATTTATATAGAGGGAGCGACATGGTCTGTGAGTGAATAATACATATTGGCATGCGATAGTGTGACCTTGATGGTAAAGCCTAGGTACTACGATTTCTTCTAGAGAAGCCTCGTGCCGATGAGACATTTCTGGCCGGTCCACCGCAAGAACAAATGCAGAGATCTTAAGTTTGCAGTTGATTGGGGCAATGATCATACTCGCGAGGTATGTATTCGCATTAATTGAAAACACGTATTCGCAGCAAAGAAACCCTTTCAACCCCATGAACTTGCAGGCACAGACCATAGGGAAAGCGGGAAGCGAATATATCGAAGAGATGCTGGCGATATGTGTACGACTACATGTTCCATATGTTGAACGAATACTCAAAACTCTTGAAATTTAAACCAACGATACCTCCGAAAGCTCAAAGGGTCTGCGCCGAAACGGCAGCCTGCTCCAAGAAAGGCTTATGGAAGGACTTCATGGTGCAGTCGATGGTGAAGTCTCCGAGTGATAAACTTCCATGTACATTGCCTCCCCCATACGAACCTCAAGTGATTCAAGCGTCTCTCGACGCAAAAGAGAAAATAACTAAGCCAGTGGAGACATGGGAGACTGAATATTGGAAAAAACTAAACAACAGGAAGCAATAGACAGATACAGAACCAAATCTCTTTAATTAGTTCAGCCATTGAAGACAGTATTGTATTCAAATACTAGGATTTTGAAAGCAGCATTCAGAAACAGGGGATTCCTACCTTCAGATCACACCATTTGAACTATAGATATTACTTGGGATGTTATAGTATGTCAGAATCAATGAAGATTATTGCATGAAGGAATTAAAGAGCTCGGGATTTGATGATGTCGAAGCTCATCTCACTCGGATCGGTCGCCTGCAACTCGGCCTGAATCCCGTCCAATTGTCTCTTGAATTTGTCCTTGGAGCTTGCATAAAGCATCTTACTCCTCACCCGTGCCCCATCATATGACCTATACATGTATACCATAAAGGTACAATATTATTGTAACGATCAGTTGCTTGGGAAGAGAAATTATGTGTTGGTTTTCATACCATGCAACGAAGAAAATCTTGCTCTTTAATTTTTTTTAAGAAATCATCGTTCGGTAATAAATAATTGAAATTTATTTTTTTAAAATAATTTTAAATTTTAAGAGTGACGACTCAGCATGACTGTAAGTATATATGATATAATATTTCCCGTTAATATTACTGTGGTAGTTAATTGTATTAGTATAATAATTTACGATACCAATGATCATTCACATTAAATATATATTATATTAATATCTATTTTATTCTAAAAAATAACTAAGTTTAAATTGGTGTTTAATCAGTGTACATAAATTGACCTCTAAAATGGGTGTATATTGGCAAAATTTTCAATGGATGGAGACTAACAATAAAAAATGATTATTAGTCAATTACTAAACTGCATGGAAATTTCAGACAAAGACATCTGAATTTTCTTTTCCATCGCATTCTTGCTTCGTTTTATTAATTAGAAATTAGGGTTTGGGATAAGCTCAACAAGTGAAGTTACGTAAGTGCCATAAACCATATTTTATTAATTAACAATTATTTTGGATAAATATTAAAATTATATAAAAAATTAGTTAGATATATAATGTGATCTACAATATTTATTTAACGTTATTATATTTATAGTTTTGATTTTAATTTATTTTAATACACAAAATGTTAATTTTGAGTTTATTATTTTTGTTTTAAAAATAAATTTAAATATTAAATAAAATAGAAATTTCATATATATATAATTACAAAAAATCAAAATATTATGGATAGTATTACACATTTAACAAAAATTAACATATAATTTTGATTTTATCCTTATATTTTACAAAAGTTAATTATATGTTAATAAAGTTGACTTGATGAGAAGTAGGCTTCTTTATTAATAAAGTAAACATGACTTTTTAAAAATATTTTTAAAAATAATGTTATAAATATTATTAAAAAAACTTTATTTTAAAAAAAAATCTTTTCCAAATAATCAAAATAAAGTGAATTGATATATTATTTATTATATTTCCAATCTTGATTGCGTGTAGTCTTTATTCTATCAAATTCATATTATTGTAAATTTTACATGAATTAGTCCACTTATTAAAATATTTTGATGTTTCCTACCCTAATTAGTTAATTTAGGTTTCCTTTCACACATATATAAATATACTAATTATATATTTGATGTGGATATATAAATATGATTATATTACCGACCTTTACATTTAGAATTCAATTAAAATTTTTGCTTTATAAAAAATAAGTAAAACAATAACTATAAATTAGTTTAATAAGATTAGATGTTTGATCCTTTCAAAAATGAATCTAGTTCAAATTTTAATATTATGATTTTAATAATATTATACTGATTAAATTTTTTATTATATTTATAGAGTTAACTGCATCATATGTCTATAAACTATACTTTTTATTTTAAATCATTCCTTAAGCTTTTGAATATTCTAGTTTTATCCCTAGACTATGACTTTTATTCTAAATTAGTCCTTAAACTTTTGAATATTCTAATTTAAACCCTAAACTATGGCCCTATTTCTAAATCGGTCCTGCAACTTTTTGAATATTTTACCTTCATCCCTAAATTCATCCAAATTTCTAATCAGTTTCAACAATAGTGTAACCTAAATTATGTTTTTTAAAACATATACAAATATAACTTGGCCTAACGATTTTATTGACAAGGGATGTGATTAGTATACACTTATAGTTCAGGATGAGATTGGAATGTTCAAAAAGTTTGGGGACCAATTTAGAATGCAGATTATAGTTTGGGAATGAAATTGAAATGTTCAAACGTTTGAGGATTAATTTAGAATAATAGTTATAGTTTAGGGATGAAGTTCAAACATTTAAAAGTTTAGGGATTAATTTGAAATGAGATTTATACTTTGAGGACATGTGATGCAGATAACTATTTTATATACAAATATATATCTGATGCCAACAATCAAATAGTCCAGTGGAATTAGGTATTAGGTCTCTTAAGTAAGGTCAATGGTTCAAATTATGATATTTGTCAATAGAGCAAACTGGGTTGGGAAAATCGTACTCGTCTATGCAGTACCCGAACTAAATTAATCAGTCAATAAATCGGATATCAGTGATTAATTAAAAATAATAATCAAATTTGGTTGGCTCCGAAACTGTAAACCTCACCAGCCAATTAGCCTAACGGTCCCATAAAATGTTTCGGCTTATCCAATCCAAAAGTCATGTTGGACTTATATTTTTAGTCAAGGGTAAACTACATAGATAATCCCATGATTATAAGATGTTTTTATTTCCATCTTTCCACTATAAGAAACTATAAGTTGATCATCTATTGTTAAGAAATAATGAGTGACCACATAATAATTTTTTTATAAAATTTGACTCAAATTAATCGATCAATATATCAAATACCAATGATTAAACTAAAAAATAATGAGTGAAGTGATGGTATATAATATTAACATTATAATAATTTTGTATTTAACTTTTACACATTATTATAATTTAATCATAACTCTAAAAATTTAACTCTTAATATTTAAACATACTTAACTCTCAAGCATAGTAACTCCTATCAACACAAGTTTAAAGACCAACACGAAAACACCAAAGATAGATGCGAAGATTTATGTTAAAAGTGAATTTATAATATTTTAAGAGAATAAATTTATAGAATTTTAAGTGATAAAAATAAATTATTAATAAAAAAATATAAATAAAATATCTAAAATATATGAGAATTTAAAAGTTTTAATCAGCGATCTCTTTCAATCGATCACTAAACATCATGACTTTGCTCGTTGCATCTTTCGTTAGGATAAACCATATTTTGACTATAATCATTTAAAATATATTACGATATTATCAATAAAAGAGAACAGATGTGGAAATTAAAAAATATATAAAAGGTATTATGTCATCTCACATTAATATCGTCCTTTTACAGGTGATTAAAATATAAATAAAATAAAACGTTAGATACAATTTAAAAGAAATAATTAAATGATTAAAATAAAAATAAAAATAAGGGTAAATATGCAAATAGTTTTTTATGTTTTCGATCTGATCAATTTTGATTATTGGTTTAAAAATTAAGTGTGTTTGGTCCTTACATTATCGATATGTTCAATTTTAATCCATCATTCATTAACTTCCGTTAACCCATCGTTAACCCGTTAACAAAAGATTTTTTTTTTATTTTTCTTACACGTGGATTTTTTCTTTTCACATAACACTCCAGTTAAAAGGTTAACGAGAGTTAACGATTAAGGAACTAAAATCGAATAAATCGATAACGTAAGAGAGCAAACATATTTAATTTTTGAATCGATAATCAAAACTAATCAGATAAAAAAGGGACTGTTCATTAATTTACCCTAAAAATAATAAATAAACGACTAAATAGATGATTTACCGTAAGTTATACGATTACAACGGCCAAATAGAGAAAACAAACTGAAACAGAGAGCAAATTGAAACTGATTATAAAAATCAATAAAATAAACCTTCAACTTTCCCTCTCTTGTTCCTCTCTTGTTTTTTTCATTTTCGTTACCATTTTACTCTTCCCCGAAGACTCCTTTCAGTCAACTAATTGTTTATATCCGATCGCATTCTCACCTAAATTCCTGAGCAGCTCATAATTAATCTTCAACCTTTGTTTCATTTTTCCTAACCGAAGCTTTCAACCTCAATATCAAAGGTTGGTTTCCGTTTCTTTAATTTCCTTTGTTATCCTCAGAGAATCTGGCTTTAGTTTCAGAGTTTTTTTTTATAGAATTATTTCCAACTTTTTTCTCTGTGGAATGTTATAGCTCTAGTTTTTCCAGAATTGGACCTGGGAATTCAATTTCTTTACATGATGCACGTTTCGTCGTTGTTGAACCATTAGTTTTCTACTTCTTATTCCATTTTCAAGATAAAGCATGGGTAGTTTCAAGTTAGGGGTCGAAGTGGTTGGCGCCCATGACCTTATAGCCAGAGATGGGCAAGGGTCATCCAATCCATTCGTGGAGCTTCATTTCGACGACCAGAGATTCCGCACCACTGTTAAAGAGAACGATCTGAATCCGGTGTGGAACGAGAGTTTCTATTTCAACATCTCGGACCCGAACAACTTGATCAAGCTCCATCTCGAAGCTTATGTTCACAGCCATAACAGAGCAAACAACTCGAAAGCCTGTCTCGGGAAGGTCCGCCTCACCGGAACATCTTTCGTACCATACTCCGATGCCGTCGTTTTGCACTACCCTCTTGAGAAACGAACCATTTTCTCCCGTGCAAATGGCGAGCTTGGTTTGAAAGTGTTTTTAACCGATGACCCTTCAATCAAACCGTCGAATCCACTTCCTGCCATGGAATCGTTTTTGGATATCCCTATTTCATTTCCTGAGGAGAAAACTGATAAACGCCATACATTTCATAGTCTTCCGAATGCAAACAACTCGCAGCAAAAGCAGAATTCTCCCCCCGTACCACCCCAGCATCAACAAATGAATTATGGAGTACATGAGATGAAATCTGAACCTCAGGCAGCTAAAGTTGTTCACATGGTCTCCGGTTCATCATCGCAACCGGCTGATTATGCTCTTAAAGAGACTAGTCCGGTCCTAGGAGGAGGACGAATTGTCGGAGGCAGAGTCGTACGAGGAGACAAGCCAACGAGGCCGAGCACATATGACCTTGTTGAACAGATGAGGTTCCTTTTTGTACGAGTGGTGAAAGCCCGAGATCTTCCTGCAAAAGATATGACAGGCAGCCTCGATCCATATGTTGAAGTAAAAGTTGGAAACTACAAAGGAAAAACAAAGCATTATGTGATGAACAAAAGTCCCGAGTGGAATCAAGTGTTTGCCTTTTCAAGGGAAACGCAGCAGTCATCTGTGTTGGAAGTTCTTCTCAAGGATAAGGATTTAGTGAAAGATGATTCTGTTGGGATCGTTCGATTCGATCTCCATGAGGTTCCGGCGAGGGTTCCACCGGATAGTCCATTGGCGCCGGAATGGTATCGGCTCGAAGACAAGAAAGGAGAGAAAAATAAAGGAGAACTGATGCTTGCCGTTTGGTATGGCACACAGGCTGATGAAGCTTTTCCAGAAGCCTTGCACTCGGATGCCTTTGCTCCTGGTGATACCACTTCAATTGACTCATCATATCTCCGTTCAAAAGTTTATCACTCTCCAAGATTGTGGTATGTCCGAGTTAATGTCATCGAGGCACAAGACCTTGTTCCATCTGACAAGGGCAGGTTCCCTGATGTATCTGTTAAGGTTCAGATTGGTAACCAGACTTGGAAGACAAAATCAGTTCAAACTCGAAACTCGAATCCAGTCTGGAACGAGCAGTCCATGTTTGTTGCTTCAGAACCCTTTGAAGATCATCTAATTTACTCGGTCGAAGATCGTGTCGGACCTAATAAGGATGAGACCATGGGAATGATCGTTGTACCATTGAGCTCTGTTGGCAGGCGTACCGATGACCGAGTTATCCATCCTCAGTGGTACAGCCTGGAGAAATCTTTACCGGATGCAATGGATAAGGATCGTGCAAAGAAGGATAAATTTCATAGTAGGCTTCATGTTTCTGCTTGTCTTGATGGAGGATATCACGTGCTTGATGAGTCAACACAGTATAGCAGTGATCTCCGGCCAACGGCAAAGCAACTCTGGAAATCACCAATTGGTGTTCTGGAACTTGGAATTTTGAATGCTGATAGGCTGCAGCCAAAGAAAACAAGGGACGGGAGAGGCATCTCGGATACGTACTGTGTGGCGAAGTATGGCCACAAGTGGGTTCGAACTAGAACCATAGTAAATAGCCTGAACCCGAAGTACAACGAGCAGTATACATGGGAAGTTCATGATACTGCCACCGTTCTCACTGTGGGAGTCTTTGATAACAGTCAGATAGGTGGTTCGAATGGAAACAAGGATATTGAAATCGGAAAGGTCCGGATTCGTATATCAACTCTGGAAACTGGTCGTGTTTACACACATAGTTACCCCCTGCTGGTTCTTAAATCTTCTGGTGTCATGAAAATGGGTGAACTTCATTTGGCAATACGGTTCTCATCGACATCGATGCTTAATATGATGCTTCAATACTCACGACCCCTTTTGCCAAAGATGCACTACAAAAAGCCATTGACTGTGATGCAGCAGGACATGTTGCGATATCAGGCTGTGAATATCGTTGCGGCTCGGCTCGGTCGTGCTGAACCACCTCTCAAGAGGGAAGTAATTGAATACATGTCTGATACTAAAGCTCATCTTTGGAGCATGAGGCGCAGCAAGGCAAACTTCTTGCGCCTGACATCGGTTTTCTCGGGATTGTTCGCAGTCGGAAATTGGTTTGGTGATGTTTGCAAGTGGAAGAACCCTGTTACAACAGTGCTGGTGCATCTTCTATTTGTAATGCTAGTTTGTTTCCCGGACATGATTTTACCTACAGTTTTCCTATACATGTTTATGATAGGGGCATGGAGATATCATTTTCGGCCAAGGTACCCTCCCCACATGGACACAACTCTCTCGTGCGCGGATGCAGTTTCTCCTGACGAACTAGATGAAGAATTCGAGACCTTTCCTGCAACAAAGAGCGTGAATCTAGTTCGGATGAGATACGATCGTTTAAGGAGTGTGGCAGGGAAAATTCAGAGTGTTGTGGGCGACATAGCTAGTCAAGGCGAGCGTCTTCAGGCACTCTTAAGTTGGCGGGATCCTCGTGCTACAACCATATTTATGATATTCTGCCTTGCAGCAGCCATTGTAATGTATGTGACACCTTTCCAGGTGTTTTCTCTTCTAGCTGGATTTTACTTTATGAGACATCCCAAGTTTCGCCAGAAGACACCGGCGGCGCCGATTAACTTTTTCCGTCGATTGCCGGCAATGACAGATAGTATGTTGTAAAAAAGGTAACGGGGATTTGTTTTCATGCAATTGTAAGTTTTGGATTCTAGTAGTCCAGCTATGGTTGTAAAGCCTGATCTGTTTTCTGTGGTGTTATATATATATGCTAAGAATCAGATCTGTAAGGCTTGGAATTAAATGCAAGAAATTGTTCCTATATTGTCTGCTATAAACTCTAATATATCCTTATTCACTTTGCTTTAAACACAGGTAAAATATATATGTCGACAATCAATCATGCATCTGAATAGTGAATGTTCATCCACCCCGCTGATCTTCGGACTCTCCCAAGGCTTCCCGGACCGCATTAGAGGCATCGACGATGCTGTTACCTCATGGAGGTTGGTAACTATGTACATCGTCGCAGCCAATCGTGGAATCACATTCATCGACTACGTTAGACTTAACACTAATATAACCAAATTTCGCATTAATGGTAGATGCTTTGAAAATTTTGAGATATCAAATTCGAGTCCACTATATTATCATATTCATGTGCATTAGGAGGAGAAATGTATTTGCCTTTATGCAGGAGTGTTTCTGAAATATAATGAAAGCTTTATTCTAATAGTTGATGGGGATATTTATTCAATACGGCGAGATTGATTACTTGGGCATCAGACCAAGTAACATCTAGTTCACCCTGCTCGTTTTCCGGCACTCCCAAAGCCGTCCACACGGCTTTCGAGCCATCTACGCTGTTATTACGGCACGGTGGTTGATAAGCATGCTCATCATCGCACCCTACTTGAGAGTCACATTCATCGACCACCAACGCCCTCACGCTGTTTCCATTCCCGTTGATGTTAATAAATTTATCGCAACGACTGGCTCTGGCCCAACCATCCCGTTGAGAGTGCCACCACAGGTTCATCATCCGAGTGAAATTGATTGTCGCATTTCGATGAGCCGCCGCCATCTCCGCCTTCTTGGAAGCTGTTGAGGGTTAGGATTGCCGGCGTATTGGCCGACACTGGCCGTGAACACGTGTATGTCGTGTAAACTTCGCCTTCTACGCAACACTCGGCATTTTCTTATGCTGATTGGTCTCGGGCGGCATTTGAGTCAAAAAGGCATTATACATTGAAGAGTTCATGAAGGGCAGGTGAAGTTTCCTGGTAATGGACAAGTCTAGCTTCTTAAACTTAATCAAATCATTCCTTCCTTAAATGCTGAAACATTGTCATTGGAAACTATTTTTTATTAATTTATTTTACAAATAATATACATCTCATTATCGGTTATTTTACTGGTAAAAATTACCCATGACAAAAGGTTTTTTTTTTCAGGTCTGTTTCAATTATTTTTCGAAATAATAGTATTTTATGTTACGTAGGATACGAGTACGTTGTATAAGATTTGTTTTCTATTAACATAATGATATGATCGACCGATAACTGTCAAAGATACATATTTATACGAGTACTAATCGAGTTAATGATAACGACAACGCATGTATATTAATTTTATCTTCGATCACTTAATAAATGTATATTTAAATTTTATATTTAAATACTTGAAAAAACTTAAACGATTTAAAAAAACTACAACCAAATATGTTGATTTTGAGTATCAAAGATATGTCCTCTTTCACAATTTGAAATCAACATGTTGGACCATAAGTGTTTAATATAAAATTTTAAACATGTCTTCGTTGAGTGATTAATGATAAAACTAATATACATAGTTATTATTATTGCCCGACTTGATTTTTTTTTATTAATATGGGTTAAGTACAAAACTATATCCTTTCAAAGGTAACTTAATACATATTTTTCTAATATTTATAATTTATATATTTTTAATAAAAATTTATACAAAAAAACTTAATATATATATATATATTATTTTTAGCTTTTTATTTCTTTGAAAATACAAAAATATACTTACACTAATATAATTATGTGTATATTGTTAGGTACTAAGATATTAGAAGATGTACATACTTATACCAACTTAAATGTCTTAAGTGCTATATTTTTTGTAATATGAATTATGAAACTTTAAAACCTTATATTGTGTGTTTTTTTTAAATAATTGTAATAGATTAACTACATGTTAACCTACAATCGAACCATTAGTGGTTAACCGTTCATGAACAATTCTAACTGTCATTAATTTAACGATGCCATGTTAATAAAAAAGTATAATTTTTATTTTAATCTTTAAACTTTAGATAAAAAAAACTTTTAATGGGTCATTTTGTAAATTTGAAGTAGTTTGAGAACAATTTTTAATTCATCTTATTTTAATATCTCATCTTTGTCAAAACTCTACCCCACAACTGCAATTTGGATTCCGAGTGCCCTAACAAAATTACTAGAGGAAAACACCAACATAAATGTCAACATGGCTATTGTTACGAACATATCCCACAATCAACGGCAAACCATCTACATTGCTCGTGAAACTATTACGGAAAAGAGTCGTCGTCTTCATCATCCACGCATTAGATCGATGTCGACACGGCTATTGTTACACATATCCATCGATCGTGGCCCCGGCCACACCCCTGCAGCCGAAGTCGGAGTCAGATTTTGGTTCGGTGAAATGCCGGGTGGAGATACTACATTGTCGACGATCTGATCATCTGAGCCCTTTAGACCTTCTTGACCTCCCCCTTTCTTGCTCTCTGTCTTTGAGCCATCCCAGATAAAGCTCCCCACAATCACCAGTTTCAAGTTCAAGTTTATATGATTTAAACTTCGAAATGGAGTTACCATGGCTTCCTACTGTTTCAGACCATAGATACCAGTCACAGATCAAAGAGTTACCTGAACTGGACTTGCTGCGATTAGCATCCCTCCGATACCACCACCAATGACACGGCCATCAGGACTAGCAAGAGAAATACTAAGACCACCAGTTCGATTGCGAGAGCCACTATTGTTTGACAACAGGTAAGACCCCGACAAACATAATATCTCGAATCGTCCCTATAGAAATCAAAATGGACAGGAGAAAAAAATATGTTCTTAAATAAAGATATGCATCAGGACAAGAATTTCAGAGGAATTAAGGTTAACGTATCAGAAATGAGAAGTTTGTTAAACAGAATTAACGAAAAGTACAGACCAGTTAGACAATATTGGACACATATCTGTCATAAAACAAAGCAAGAGTCTGGTTGTCAAGTGCCAAACCTCATATGTAACGGTGCCACCCGCCGATGAAGGTTGACGAAGAGTAACAGTTGAGACGGCACCATTGGCTGACAAAAAGCATACTTCTCTTGGCCCTTGCTGTGAAAATGACATCAATTTTGTCGCAATATCCTGCAGGGAAAGTTAAAAGTAATTCACAAGAACAAAGAACTTTCTTCCATTATAAGATAACCTACTGATAAATGTAGTAGCACATTCAAACAATTCATACCTCAAAAAGTATCGATTCGAGACGAAACATCTACTATTCATTAGAGAAACAACGAAAACCGAAACAAAACTTAATACACTCATGCACAGCCAAATAGACAGCAACGTTTTATTACAAAGAAAGCCATGAAGAATAATAGCAAGGAATGCTAGGCGTAGAGAATCCTAGTTTCTTGTATATTTAGTTTAGAGGGTAGAGTCTGAGGCGTAATTAATAAAAGAAAATCGCATACTTCTCCTATCGCAATGGTGATGACATGTGGAGTAAAACCCATCCCAGCTGAACCAGACAGCAATTCACCTGGCAAAACAATTTAATGATCGCAACATCATTCACATAGCAAGAACAAAACATGTTAGAATCAAGCACTGAGAAACAGAGATAAACTGCAAGCCGTGACAAGATATAACATGTTATTGATCTTTAGATTGCAGAAATTGATGAATTGTTAGTTATGAAGACTTCCACATTTGAACATATATGTCGGTGTCACTCGTAGAGTTATTTAAAATCCGAAACTCTCGTCAGCTCTAGGCATATTCCTATTTAAATATAAGGCTGAGCATGCAATGTTAAACGCTACAAACATATGGGAAAATAACTTACAGAGGGAAGACAATTGCTGCTTCCTTCCGGTACCCGGCGGCCGCCCTCTTCCCCGTTTTTGGATTGGAGTTATCGTTCCAGGATGAGTAGCTGATGCAGGAGTCAGTGCTAGTGAAACAGTTGCATCGGGTCCATACTTCCGAGGTCTTCCTCTTTTACGTTTCAATGTGTCGCAGGACAGCTCCGGCACCGTAGGAGACATGCCTACATTGACACTATGAGGAGACATTCCCGACAAAGTTTCTACGGGTAAGGTTGTTCCAATAGTAGTGGCATTAATACTTGATTGGTATTGAACATTAGGACTCGATAACGGATGAATGCCCGGTGATTCATGTACTCCGGTCTGTGTTCCTGTCCCGGATCCAGTTATTCCTCGTTGTTGAATATAGTAATATGCAGAGCCCGATAACGCCATAGCATCCCTTCGATCCATGCATTTACCTCGAATAACATATACTTGAATTTGCCTTCAGATCAACACTCCATGCAAATTGCAAAGGCTAGAATAGCAGAAAAGCGCCTGTGAAACTCCAATTGTGACAACTGAACAGTTAAAAGCCATATGGATCTTGGATACGACATGAAAAGACAGAAAGAACAATATATATGAAAGATCATAATATGTCAATGAAGAACTTGTTTCCCCACGGTTCATATTCATATAAATCGAATTTCACACACGCATAGCTCATGAAATTGAGCCGCAACTAAGAGTAAAGAGATACAAAGAGAAAACAGTAAACAGCCACAAAATCATGAGAGGAAAATGAAGAACCAATAATCTACAAGCAACCAACATGAGAAAACAATGGAGAGAGAGAGAGAACAAAAAAAAAAGATGAAATATCAAGCTCATAAATTGAAAGGAAAAGATAAAAATGCGAGCTAATTTACTGCTTACCAAACAGTAAGGAGGATAAGCTTCATGTTAAAGAAATAAAGCAGGATGGGAACTGAAAACCAGGTCTCAACCTCAGCAACTCATTATATATCTTTAACACCAATCGTGATCAAAATCACTACCCCAAGGAACGATTTACTCACATGATTAAGAAAAATAAAGAAAGAAACAGACAAAAGCTAAAGCCATTGCCATACAAGAGAAAGTTAAACCAAGTTGAAAGAAGAACTACAACTTCCTTCAAAAACTAAGCAGACATAGCTAAAACATTTGCTCCTTTTCATGGGAAGAAAAACCCAAAAAGTGAAAGTAACTTACATTAGAGAACAGGGATTAAACTGTTAAAAGGTCCAACCTTTTGAGAGTAAGAAGTTTGAAGAACATGGGGTTTTTCTTGTGAAAACGAATAGACTAAAAGGAATTAAAGGGAAAGTGATAAATAATAGAGAAAGGAGGACATTTTTTTAGTTTTTCTGTAACGGGATGTGTCGGAACTGTCTTTCGGTTGGATCCAGACTTGGGCTTCGACTTGAAATGAATGGGTTAGAGTCGCCACCGATCATTCATTTTAAGAATAAAACCGGTTGATCGGATACCTCAATTTTTTACCTGATCTGCATTTTACCAGAAATGTGTCGGGTTCGGGAGTCGGTTACAGTCAAGGAATGATTAGCACCCTTGAACTGCCCTTTCGGTACCAATTAATTTTTCGGTTGTCTTAATTGCGAAAAAATTAAAATTTAAATCGAAATTTAAAAATTAAATTCGAATTGCTTACCTTTGATCGATTGAAATTACTACTGAAAAAGTCAAAAAAATGTTAGGTAATAAAATAAAATAAATATCAAATAGAAATTAAAACATATAATTTAACCATTAAAATCAAAAAAATAAATAATTAAATTAAATCAATTAATCCTGTAATAATGCACTTAGTGACACTTTCCACATTATGCTTGCGCCAGGTCTCTCCACGTGTATTCAAGAATGTGTGGAAAGATTAGAAAGGCAAAGAAAATATAGTGGAGAGATTTTGACTTGTAATGGTGGGCCAAATCACGAAGTTAATGTATTTGTTTCTTCTGCTGTTCTCCCCTCTACTTCGTTGCTTCAAGTTCAGAAATCGTGTGAACACCAACACGTTTCAAGGTGAATGAGCAGTTGATGGCTGTAGAGTTGATGCGGTGATGCGAGTTGGAAAGAAGCTCGAGGCAGATGGTGGCGATATTGGTTCAGGTGAGGTTTCTCTTGGAGGAGTTGAGCGACTCTTCTTCGCGGTGAGAGAGTTCTGAGCTTACGGTCGAACATGGTGAACAAACTCCACAGTCGATCATCTAGGATGCTTACGGTCGCTGGATGACTGTGGAACGCTACCGCCTCTGTCAAGCTCCAGGAGCAACGAAAAATTGGATCAAACCAAAGAAAAAAAGGCAACTGGATCACATTTCGATATCTTGTCTTCAAAGCTCTTGAGGAAAAGGAAATGAATCCGACTTGACTACAGAAAATTTGGAAAGAAACCGTGGAGAGCAATTAGCTCATTTTCCTCCTTTTCCTCTCTTTCCTCCCCTGTTTCAACAAATACGTGAAGAATATATAAGAAAATTATAATCTAAAAATTGCTTGGCAAAGTGGTGGTTTTTTGTTGTTCCTAGTTTACAAGAGACTATGGGTGGTGCGCATTTAGAGAAAGGGGTCCCCAGAGTCCCATTTTCGGTTGAATTTATCGGGGTTGCACTAGCCGGGTTTTTAGGGATTTAGTGGGTTAGTTGGAGTAGTGGTGGGATAGTTTGTTGTTGAAATAAACCTGCAAAAATAATATTAATAGTATTAATAATATAATAATAATAATAAGTAATTATAATAATAATAATAATAATATAATATATTTTTTAAGTCCAGTCAAAAACGGGTGTCTACAGCTGCCCCTCTTTGCACATTCTTGTGTTAGCAAGAATAGGGCAAAGACGAAAAAGACAACCAGTTTTTGTCTGGTGTTCTCAAATGTGATTGAGCTTCCTGGAATTGGGCCTTTGTCTTCTTCTCGGTTTAAAGATTTCGGCTTGAAAATTCTTCCAGAAAGCAATTTATCGCTGTCATCGAGCTGAATGAAATCGAACTCGTCAGGTCTTTGGTTGGCAGATAGCCCTTCTCAACTTAAGCTATGCTGCAAATGATGTGCCTCGGAGCTGAGCGTAGTCAAACTCGAAGGTCTTTGGTTGGCAAATAGCCCTTCTTGCCTTGAGCTATGCTGCAAATGATGTACCTTGGAGCTGAGCGTAGTCGAACTCAAAGGTCTTTGGTTGGAAGATAACCCTTCTCGACTTAAGTTATGCTGCAAATGATGTGCCTTAGAGCTGAGCGTAGTCAAACTCAAAGGTCTTTTGGTGACAGATAACCCTCTTAGCCTTGAGCTATGCTGTAAATGATGTGCACTCGAAGCTGAGTGTAATCGAACTCGAGGGTCTTTGGCAGATAGCCTTCTCGAGTTGAATATCCTTCGTCGTGAAGTTGAAAGTTGTTTATTGACAACCAGCGGTCCCTTCGTCGTGAAGTTGAACTTGCGTTGTCTTGAGTCCAATATCCTTTGCTATGAAGTTGAAATTGACTCTGAAATTGGGAAATTATTTATTGACAACCAGCGGTCCCTTAGTCGTGAAGTTGAACTTGCGTTGTCTGGAGTCCAATATCCTTTGCTGTGAAGTTGAAATTGGCTCTGAAATTGAGAAGTTGTTTGTTGACAACCAGCGGTCCCTTCGTCGTGAAGTTGAACTTGCGTTGTCTGGAGTCCAATATCCTTCGTTGTGAAGTTGAAATTGGCTCTGAAATTGAGAAGTTGTTTGTTGACAACCAGCGGTCCCTTCGTCGTGAAGTTGAACATGCGTTGTCTGGAGTCCAATATCCTTCGCTGTGAAGTTGAAATTGGCTCTGATATTGGGAAAATGTTTATTGACAACCAGCGGTCCCTTCGTCGTAAAGTTGAACTTGCGTTGTCTGGAGTCCAATATCCTTCGTTGTGAAGTTGAAATTGGCTCTGAAATTGAGAATTTGTTTGTTGACAACCAGCGGTCCCTTCGTCGTGAAGTTGAACATGCGTTGTATGGAATCCAATATCCTTCGCTGTGAAGTTGAAATTAGCTCTGAAATTGAGAAGTTATTTGTTGACAACCAGCGGTCCCTTCGTCATGAAGTTGAACATGCGTTGTCTGGAGTCCAATAACATTCGCTGTGAAGTTGAAATTGGCTCTGAAATTGGGAAGTTATTTATTGACAACCAGCGGTCCCTTCGTCTTGAAGTTGAACTTGCGTTGTCTGGAGTCCAATATCCTTCGTTGTGAAGTTGAAATTGGCTCTAGAAGTGGAAAATTGTTTATTGACAACCAGCGGTCCCTTCGTCGTGAAGTTGAACTTGCGTTGTCTGGAGTCCAATTTTCTTCGCTGCGAAGTTGAAATAGACTCTGAATGAAATTGGAAAGTTGTTTGTTGACAGACAACTTTTCTTTACTTAAGTTGTGCTGTAAATTTCCTTTAAATGAATGATGGCCCCTTTCGCCAAATTTTGTGAGCCGGATATCTTCCGTCGTGGAATTGAAATCTGGCTTGAAAGTGTTAACTGGAAACATACTACTCATGGTTGAGTTTGTGTGCGAACTGGATTTGTTTTGAACTGGTTCTCGAACCTATCTGAAATTGGTTCTAAGATGTCAAGTCGGTTGAGGTGTAGCTTCTTACTGCCGAGTTAATCAACCACCATCCTTCTTTGAAGGCGCTTGAGAATCGAGTATCCTTCATCCTGAAGTCAAAACTTGACTCTAAAAGCTGTAAAAACGTGTATGCTAAAATGATTAATGTGATGCACCTAAGTATGTTTAAGATGCATGCAATATGAATGATTTATGTGTTATCTTCTGGATGGAGTCTCGTGCTTTGTCTGTCAATCAGGTCCTTGGAATGGATCGTGCCCCATTTACTTCACGAGCTTTGGCTTTACAGACCTTTCATATCTGAGACTGTTCTGCTTGAAAATGTTTTTCTCCTTTTTCTTGTTTTAGGAGAGAGACGTGATAAAAATGTTGTAAAATATTGTTCGTAATTGAATCAAATTGTAAATGTGAGTTCAAAAAATATCAAAGGAATCAAGAGCTCTTTTAATGCTTTCAGATTTACAAATCTTTGACAAATGTTCAAATGGATGAGTTGGCTTTAGGTTAGCCTCCTTTCTAAGGTTTTGGTAACCCAAAATGTCATTTTTTTTAAATATCGAAATATGCTTTGGTATTTCAATTGGGTGCGGACAAAATAACGCAACTAGCATGATCAATTACAAGACCTTTTATTTCGGTCCTCTGAAATCTTCCATTTGTTCAAGCTTTGTAGGCTCCTCTAACGAAGGCAGTGCAAAAATATCGGTCTAAAAATGAAATTCTTGAGTGCTCGTGTGAAATTGACTATAACAGGTGTTCCTTAATTCCCTTAGTCCATTTTACCGAAACTTTATGCTTAGATAAATTCGATTTAATTTACCGTTATCTGGCTAGCTGAATCCATAAAGCCGGGGCGTTTAACCAATTACTTTAGAGGGACAACTTATCATTATAATCATTTTTATCAAGTTAACTGAAGGGTTCATCTCATCACAAAGTCTTCGGCCTGACAAAATCAGTGGAGCAAACACCGAATTGCCAAGTGTCCGAGCAATGTCATGGTTTGAATGACATCTATTCATAAAGCCAGGGCTTTCGAGTTTCCTCTATAACCAATTGCCTTAGTGGAATAGCTCAGTTTTACGGATTAAATTTCTTAAGATTGTCAAGAAGAACCTGTTATAGTCTAGGTGTTTGTTGAAAGTAAAAAATTTCATCTTTAGAGTTCAATTTTCAAGCAACTGACCTAAACTGGATTCACTTACTCGACTATTCCATCTGTGAAGATCATTATCATCACTGAACGTCTTAAATAAAAAGTATAATAATGTCATATGCAAAAGGATGCCCCATGTTGCCCGCACCTTATGAAAGGAAAATGTTATATTGGCTAATTGCAAGAGCATGGTACAGTGTTTGAGGGTATATTCTGGGTAAGGTCAAGGTCCTTGTTTTAAAACATGTTACTTTGTCAAAGATCCGTAACTTTGAACCATTCACAGAGTTTCTTAATTCAAATGATATTCAAAGAATTGCAAGTTTACAAATGTGATTCATTGCTCGTCATCATTAAAGTAACATAAATTTATTCAAATTTCTTATAAAAACTTGAAAAAGTGAAAAAAAAAACAAGTTCAAACATAATGCCTCAAGTGATGAAATGATCTCCCTCACTTGGATGCCCCCAAGTTGTTGAAGTCGATCCAGTTCTGGTTACGCATCTTCTGTACGACTCTCTTGAATGCGTAACAGTTCTCAATAG